CCCTCCCTCCCTCCCTCGCTCCCTCGATCCCTCGATCTCTCTCTTTCTCCCTCTCTATATAACATATATAATATGTTGACTGATAAGTTTATATCTTTTTAATATAGTTATATGATATGTACACACACACACTTAGTTAGTTAGTTAGTTATTTATAAATAGTTATATGTACATGACGTAATTGTTTTTGCATATAAAATAGTAATGCATATGTATATATATATATAGGTATATAAGCCTGAAAAGACCGAAGCTTCTGAGAGGCCACGGAGCGAAAGCCCCAGGATGTGCCAGGGCTCTGGGGAGTTTAGTTAGTTCTCCGATACGCCAACTGTAAGCTTTAGGGTTTAGGGGTTTAGGGCTTGTTGGGCCCTTATAGTTTAGCAGTCATGTGAAAGTTTGGCCTTCTATATCTGTGGCCTTTTGGGTAAGCACCTTGTGGCGTATTTCAGAATGTTTGCGGCTTGAGGGTTACTGTCAGGATTTCGTCTGTGGGTTTAATTGAGGATCTGAGGGTTTTTAGGATCCAGGGTTTCGGGCCGAGGATATTCGGCTTAGCGGTGCAAGGTTTGGGAGGGCATCATGCACCAGGGCTCCTGTCACTTGAATTGTTGCTTACGGGGTCATAGAGAGCAACAGACTGTACAAGCCTGAAGGATTAGTAATTACTGCTTTTCCGGAGGGAACCCCAAACCCTAAATCCAAATTTAACCCCAAACCCTAAACCCTGTCTATAACTACAGTATAAATGCCACCCAAAAGCTTAAAAACGTGGAATCTACCCGAAGTTCCAGTTCCTAGAGTCTTGGTAATAACTCAGGCTTCAAACACACTGTAAACACCCATTACATATCCCTGCAACAGCCCCTTTCAACACTGCTTAACATAGCGACCTTGGAAACATTAGACCACGTCAAAGCCCTAGTGTTCCGGGTTTGAGGATTGAGAGTTAGGGTTTGGGGGAGTTTCAGGGTTTCGGGTGTCGGGATATGGCACGGCTTCATGATTACAATGGTGCCGGGGTAGTTGATAGAGGCCTTAATAAGTACCTATACTATTTTGGGGGTTCCTTAGTGCAATTATAGTATAATGGGCCCCAAAACCCTATTCTAATTATTAAGGCCCCTATATTACACTGGTGCCGGGGTAGTTGAGAGATTGATTGTTTCGGAGATGGTTAGAAGGTCTCCGGCCAGCTTTGTGGTTAATTTGGGTTTGATCTTTGGAGCTTGACTGGTAGTTTCTAGACCATACCGGGAGGGTCGGGGGACTTAGTAAGTAGATACGAAGTAGAGTTATAAGTACCCTAAAAGGGATCCTACTTGGCGTTCTGGTACCTTTAAGTCTCTCCCCCGACCCTCCAAATAGAGAGTCAGACCTCACAAGGCCGGCAACACCCTCCTCGGACTTCGGAACCCCCAGGGGTGGTCGGTTTGCTCACCTTCCTGACTAAATCCTACTGGTAACAACCGTGCAGGCCCTTTGAGTATTCCATCCGGATCCTGCATCCATGCCATGGAAGATGTTAAGGGAACTTAAATCAATTGTTGTACCAACTCGAGGCCACACGTACGTTTGTTATGTGCTGCAGTGCCTTTACACAGAAAAGGTTCTGCACGATAAACTGAAACTCTGGATACCGTATTCAACGGCCCTGACAAGGATCCCTAAACCCTAAACCCTACATACTGTACAGGGTGCGTTTTAGGTCTCCCTTCCCCGAACCAGTTCTTGGCAAGAAAATCGCATAGCCAGCCGCCGGCCCTTGAACCACAGCAGTTCCACATTCAACCGGAGCCTATCGAATCAGTCTTGTTACATTCTACTCTTCCGTTGATTTCCTAGTATTCTGATTAGATCAGCAAAATGACGAATTCAGTTGTTTGGGATTTAGGCTATTCGTTGCGAGGACCCAGCAACATGATCATCACGCCTTTCACCCTAAGCCCTAAGCCTTGTGATATTACTCCTATACTCTAAGCCCAAAAAACCGACACCCCAAACCTTAAGCCCCGGGCATCAAACTACGGTTGGATCTGCAGATCGCCGCAATCGCCACACGCGCAAAGCACCGAAGGCAGCATGCCACTGGGAGCTCAGCGATGTGGGCTATCCGGGGAGAGAACACCTTACATGAAGAAGCACCCAATGGCATCCCAGACACCCAAGTGGTGCGCAGAGACTCCCTTTGGGCCATTGGCGTCGACAGGAAGTGTCTTTCGCTGGGCCCCTCTGCGGTCGTACGGGCCTTAAAGGGCACTGGATAGGCGAAGCCTGTACCCTTATGACTACCAGGATGCCGTCGCTGGTTTGATCAGGGACGGTTTAGGGTATAGGGAAGCAGTGCTTCATGTATCGAAGAGGAAGCTATTAGGGTCTTAGGGTTTAGGGTTTAGGGTTTAGGGGATTGTACGGATCATTCTGTGTGTTGCAAATGCATCACAGCTTTCAAGCTTCAAGAACAGGATACCCTTAGCCCTAAGCCCTGTACTCTAAAACCCTAAGCCTTACACCCTAAATCCTAACACACTAGGCTTCTCTGTCTCTCACTATAAATAAATAAGCAAATGCCATTTATCAATCTATATATATATATATACATATGTATCAATCTATATATACATATGTATATATATATATATACAGTTAAAACACTGTGTGTACATACCTAGTTACATATATATACACACATATACAATGTTTGATTCGTTATTCGGCCCAATTCGGCTGTCTATCTCACAAGAAGCTCCTACGTTGTGAACAGAAGCATCTTAAATAATCCATACACAACCCGTATACAGGGTCCAGGGTTTAGGGTTTATCTTCAGTAAACCCTAAACTCTAAACCCTAAACCTTAAACCGTTGTAAACCAAATCGCACCCAGGCGGTCGATCTCACAAGAAGATCCCTTTCCCACGGCGACTCTGGCGACAACCCCCCGAGCTGAGACGAGGCCCACGGATTGGATGGCTCTTGCAATGGTTTCTAGAGTGTAGTCGGTGTTGTAAGGGTTATTTACGGTTCTTCCTGCTTTTGGAAGAGTTTCTACAGGGCTTTTGCAATGGTTTCTAGGGTGTAGTCGGTGTTGTAAGGGGGGGGTTAGGGCTTTAAACATGTCGTTTTAAAGGGGTTTCTGTAGGGTTTTTGTAAGCGCCTCTTACAGTCTTAATAGGTTTTTACTTAAGACGTGTCCAGGGCCTAAGGCGTATAAGGGTCTTGTACGGTTCTAGAAGGCTTTGTAGTGTTTTACAACTGTGTTTTTGATAAAGGGACTTGGCTTCATGTCAGTAGTTCTCTAATTTAGGGTCGCCTTTTAGGAACCCAAAAGAAGACGGTGCCCTTATAAAAAGAGTCCTAAAAGGGACCCTTTTTTTGGAGCCTACCCATGTAGGGCCTTTCATTTCTAGAAGAGTGCTTGTGGGATATTAAGGCGATATGACCACCCACTGCTCAGCCCTCTGTCATAGGCATTTTGCGTGTAGGGTTTGGGGGTTAGCATGTATAGGTGAGGCTTCTTTGTTTAAGGCAAAGGAGTTTGGTATGCTGAAGTTACCCTAAACCCTTAGCCCTGAACCCTAATCCCGAAACCCTAAACCATAATCCCTAAACCCTAAACCCTAAAACCCTAAACCCTAAGCCCTGAACCCTAAGCCACAGACCCTAAACCCTGAACCCTAAACCCTAAACCCTAAAGCTGAATCAGGCATCTTGAACCGGATGTCCAGGTCGTTGCCGTTGGTGGTTCGCTTCTACTCTTTGGATTAGACCTTCTACCCAAAGCCTGCCTAATATAGGGGCCTAAATAAGTGCGAAAACTATTTTCTGTTTTTCGAAGGGGTCCGTATTACATTTATAGTATAGTGTACCCCGAAAACCTAATCTAACTACTGAGGCCCCTTCATTAGACTTTATTGGTAGTCCCTGATATCATGATTTTGGGTCTGAAGAGTGGTGGTGATTCCTTCAAGTCGTTGATCGTTTCTCCGACCTCCGGGGGGTTGATATTGCTGTGTTTAGGGTTTAGGGTTTAGGGACTGCTTTGTAGTCTATATGGAACTAGGCTTCTTGGTTTAGCGTTTAGGGTTTGGGGTCGTTACCGTATAGGCCATTTCTGCTGTGTGTCTTAAACATGTTCCCTGTGGTCCGAGGTTGTTCCGAGCCCAGCTTCGGATTCATACATTTTAAACTGTTGCGGGTAGGGCAACTCCAAGAAATCTAAAAAACATGTCTTGGTACTACAAGGTGTGAGGCCCAAGTCAGCAGGCATTGCGGTAACATGCGATGTCGCATGTCATTGTCTATAGCATTGGCCCCCAAAGGCTAGGAATGTTTCCATTTTCAGTTTTCGTACATACCACGCCAACAGGAGCCGAAACCACAAGCCAGTTCAATCTATGTTCTGGGCCACATAAATTTAGAAATTGTACCATTTAAACACACTTCAACAACAAGCTCTTACAAGGTTTTATCAACCCCACAGTTCGCCCGTACCCTACAAAGGCCGCCCTAAACCTGAAATCAAAACTGAAGCCCTAAACCTTGAACCCTAAACCTTGAACCCTAGCTTGGAGGACTCCTGTGGCCGCCCGCGAGGAGCCAACACCCAGCGCCGATTTCGAGGCTGCAGAAGTCGGGCTTCCGGGCTGGTCTTCCCCGGAAGATTTGTCCGAATTTTAGGGGCTTCCTTTTAAGCCCCCTCACAGGGTTTAAGTTTAAGGGTGCCTTTAATAATTATGGGTTTAGGGTTAAGAGTTTATGGTGTAGGGTGTAGGGGTTTAACGGCTCAAGGCTCCTGTAAAGGCTGCATGAGGGCATCATTTGCATGGAATTGATACGGGTTTATAGGGTTTTATGTCGGGTTCTTTTCTTGGCACGAACGGCCCTCACTCAAGGCTGGTACAGTATTGCGCAGACAGAGGTCAGCAAGACAGGAGCGAACTGAAGCCGAGGACTTTGTGGTTTCAGGCTAGAGCTTGCCTTAACCTCAAATAAGCTACCCTTTTCAAGGATTTACAAATGACCCTAATTCAGAGAACAACCCTTATAATACCTTTATAGAAAGCCCTAAACCCGTAAACCCTAAACCCCTAAACCTTAAACCTTAAACCCCTAATCCCCATAGAAACCCTGTAGATCCCTTTAAGGGACCCTGAAAAGGGACCCCCGACCCTATGTCCCAGGAGGATCCTTCAGCCACGCTCAATGGATCTGCAGACGTAGCAACTAATTAGGGTTTAGGGTTTAGGGTTCCAGCTGGGCTCACGAAACCCTGAACCCTGAACCCTGAACCCTGAACCCTAAACCCTAAACCCTAAACCCTAAACCCTATAATATCTAATCTTAAGTACCAAGCTTCGGGGTCACCGACACTGAACACCCATAACAGGAAGCCTAGCCGGGCCTAAGAACCCAGAGAGTCCAACATGGGATATACATGAAATCATAATACGCAGCCCCCTTAAAATTTAAGAAAAAATCCTCAGCCCTAAACCCTAAAACCTAAAACCCTAAAGCCCTAAAGCCTAAACCCTAAAACCCTAAACCCCTAAACCCTAAACCCTGAATTCAGGGGTTTTGGGCTCTCTGGGAGCAGCTCGATGAAAGCTCCCGCAGATAGGTGCCAAGCTGGGCCGCAGCGCTGCCACCCAGCCCGGCTCTCGCTTCCTTGCTGTGCCTACGTTTAGGGTTTAGGGTTTAGGGTTTAATACCCTGCGCCGTTTTTTAAGGTACCTAGTTTTATGGTTAGGATCTGTTATATAGAAAAGGTAGGTACCCTAAAAAATAAGGGGTAGGGTATGACCCTAGAGGTAGGGCTCTATGAGGGCTTAGGGTTTAGGGTTTAGGGTGAGTTTAGGGCTGTAGATTAGGGTTTAGGGTTCCATATTGGGAGACCGTGCCTCTAAGACGGTTCTACAAGTTTAGGGCTGTTGGGTGTGAGATTCGGGTTTAGGGTGTAGGAGTTCAGGTTAAAGGAAAATTACAGGTGGTGAGTTTAGGGTATATAGGGTTTCCAAAAGGCTTCCAAAAGGTATATAGACCTTCTATAAGGCTCCTATAACGGTATCTACCCACCTGAAAATGTCCTAGATCAGGGCTCTGTAAGGGCCGACCTTCCCCAAGGGTCCTAACAAAGGATAGTCTTGAGTCAATCCGTGCCGTAGATTCAAGGACAGTGGCGAAGTTGCAACGGCTTGAGTGTCAAGGGCTTTGGGGTTTGGGCGTTTAGGGTTCAAGGGTTTCGGGTTTAGGGGTTTAGGGTTTGGGGTTTAGGGTTTGGGGTTTCGGGTTTGGGGTATGGACCCTAAGTCTAGACTCCACACTCCGCGCCCCAAAGCCCGAAACCCTACAACCCCAGACACTGAACAATAGCACCGTGAACCGTTAAAATCGACAGCAAATGCCCAAAGTAGGTACGACTTATAGATTTCAGAAAGTCTTACAGACCAAAGTAAGTACTATTTGTATACTTGCAGCCTTAGGGCGAGACTCGAAACTTGAACCCTGAATCACTAAACCCTGAACACCCTAAACGCTAAACCCTGAACCCTGAACCCTGAACCCTAAACCCCTGAACCCTAAACCCTAAACCGCAGAGGCCCCGCGCGATTCGAAGCGCCCACCCCGTCGAAGGCCATGGCGGCCGCCGTTCCTGGGCCGGACTTTCTTCAGAGCTCAAGGTTTTTAGAGTTTAATATAGGGGTCTAAATAATTACCTATACTATTTTGCAGTTCCTTGTTGTAATTATGGTATAATATTAAGGCCCCTATACTTAGGGTTTCGGGTTCAGTTTTAGCGTTTAGGGTTTGGGTTAGGGCTCAGAGTTTAGATGTTCGGGTCTCGGGTTTAGGGTTTTGTCCCCAAACCCTCAAGCCTACATGTAGGGTTTAGGGGTTTAGGGTTTAGGGGTTCAGGGTTGTTTCAACACCGTGTGTCGAAACACTCCGACAAACGGCCTGACCCCCTTCGCCCAGCAGCCAAGAGGCCAGACACTGTGGACCAGGCGCAGGAGATTTGGATGCTGAATCGAGCCCCGAAACCAGGAGACACAGTCAGCGCATCCAGAGAGACAGAGCGTTCCGGAGTCTGGGCATGGAGGGCGAAGAGGAGGAGGAGCTTGGGAAGGCAAAGCGCTTGCGTCAACAGCCATCCAGTTCTGCGGGCAAGCGCCCGGTTGGCACCACCTACTCAAAGCCCGCCTTTTCTTCGCACGCCGCGGACCTATCTAACGACCCTAGTTTATTTAGTTGTATTCCACAACATCCCCAAGCCACATTTCAAGCACATAGGCCCCTTTAGCAGGGTTTTGGAAGAGCCTCAACATCGATGGTTTTCCAGAAGCATTCCTACAAGCGGTGTCAGTTTCATCTAAGGGCCTTTAGGGTGTGCACTGCTTTTTTGGTCGAGAATTCTGAATTCTAAACCCCCAAACCCGAAACCCTGAACCCTAACCCCTCAAAGTCTGAACCCTAAACCCCCAAACTTTAATTCATTGGCACTATATGGGTGTTTGGAACTCCTTGTGTGCGCAGGGTTTTTTCGGTTTCAGGGTTTCGGGTGCAGGGTTTCGGTTTGGGGACTTTTAGGGCCTAGGCCTTAAGACCCCATGGTACCCTCAAGCCTCAACCTCGAGGACGACAAGAACCCTAAAAGGGCTTAAGCTTCACATACCACATCATATAGGCCTTAATAATTAGAATGTTCCTTTAGAAGGGTTCCTTAAAGGGTTCGATAAGGGCTACTATAAGGGTTTAGGGTGTAGGGGCCTTAATAATTAGAACAGGGTTTGGGGTGTAGCATATTCTGATTATAGTAAGTAAGGAACCCCCAAAACCTTATTCTAATTATTAGGGCTCCTACATTACCCTCTAGGGGTTCGTAGCATAAGGGTACAGGGCGGTTACTTCGAAGGGTCAATTGGTCAAGCCCAGAAGCCCACAACGCTGAAATTGAGCAAGCAGGACTAGCCCCACTGACAAACAGGGTTTTCCCTAAACCCCTAAACCCCTAAACCCCATAAACCCTAAACCCTAATCCCCATAAGCCCTAAACCCTCAACCCTCAACCCTAAACATCAAGCAGAATTTTCAGAGCGGCCGAAGAGCAGAGCTTGAAGAAAAAACCCTCCTGAGGCTCCTAGGTAGGATTAGGGAGACCCCTCAAAGGTAGGATTATGGAGACCCCTCAAAGGGAACCCTTCCGAACCCTACTTCTGGCTCTCTTAAAAGGGGTCTTATTGAGAGGGTCTATATCCCCAAGGGTCCCGCTAATCCTAGCTATCAAAAACCCTAAACCCTACACCCTAAACCCTAAACCCTAAACCCTAAACCCTAAACCCTAGACCCCCCGCTAATCCTAACTCCCAGAGGCCGCACCACTGGCTGTTCCGGCTTTCCCGGAGGCCGCACCCGCATCCGAGCTGGTGACAGCCTCGGCGTCTCTCGGGTTCCGGGTTAGGGTTTAGGGTTTAGGGTTTAGGGTTTAGGGTTTAGGGTTTAGGGTTTAGGGTACAGGTATTGAGGTTCGTGGTTCGAGGGTTTGCAGTTGAGGGTTCTTGGCTTGAGGTTTGCGTTTTTTTTTTGAGGGTGGTAGCTTTCGCGAGGTTTGGGACTCATGTTGCAGGTTTCATGATGATTAGGCTAGAAGTGTAGGAGTTTAGGCAGGTACGTCATTTTGGGTCTTCGGAATCGCGGCGTGGTCTTGGAGCTGAGAGCGATTATCCAGTTTTGGTTGTAGCATCTTAGTTCCTTAAGGACGAAAAGAGCCCTAAAAGAGCTCAAGGTTCATATACCATATAGGGATTCATAGTATATGGGAATAGGGCCCCTACTTTTAAGGTTCTTTTCGTCCTTAAGGTTGGTAGTAGCAGGCACCAGGCCATAGTATGTAGTCAGAGGAACGGCCTGCAACATGTGGCACAGTTGCTGGAGATGCGTCAATACTACGATCGCGAAACAGAAAGAATGCGGACGGGTGTTCTCATTCTTCCAGAAGGCGACGCATTTTTCAGTTTGCACACAGTTCAGAAAGGCGAAAATCCTTTCCGCGGCGACCCCTTCACGGACGGTTTTGCGACAGCAGCGCCCATTCAGGACTTGCCATCGAGGCAATGTTGTTGACTGGCGTTCTCATCCGCAGCCCACCATCCAAAATTATGCCGCCGTTCTTCCTGGCACTAGTAGTACGAGACGGAGTAACTAGGAGCAACTAGTAGGAGTAGCAGTAGCAGTGATAGTGGCTTTAGCTGTAGCTCTAGACATAGCCTCAGCAGTCGCGGCAGTGGTAGCAGTGGCAGTTGCAGTGGTCGTTGCAGTAGCAGGAGAAGAGGAGCAGCATCAGCAGCAGTAGATGCGCTAGTAGTAGTAGTAGTTGTAGTAGTAGTAGTAGTAGTAGTAGTAGTAGTAGTAGTCGGAGCGCTGGCGATGGCAGCAGTGGAACAGTAGTAGTCGCAGACTCAGGAACAGCAGTAACAGTAATTATTCCTCGTCCTTGCTTCATCCTCGTTGCCGTAGCAGTGGCTTCTGCTACTAAGCCCTAAGACTGCAGCTCTGTGCACTCTACCAAGCGGGGCCATATTAGTATACATATATATATATATATGTATCTTTTATTACTATGGAATTAGGTCCCCAAAACCATAATAGGGATGATGTTTTGAGACCTAATTCCATAATGGTAGTCCATGTGGATCCTGGGTAGATTGAGGTCGACTGTGCAAGTCTGCACCTTATTGAATGAATAACAGCTATGTGTTAGGCATGTACAACCTGATCACTTTCTAGAACCCACAAAGCGTGTAAGCAATACCACGGAACACTAATCCCTAAACTACCCTCCATCATAGCATGAACGAGTATGAGTTCCCATCACGCCTCTATTGGGGGGAACCCTGGCGGGTCTTGAAACATCTGATGTATCTGAAATCCTCTTGAAACCTTGGTGAAACTCTGAGACAAACCTGTACGCACAACCACCAACATGGCTCTACCACTGCTGTCAAGCCCTAAGATAATCTCCTATCAACACCCCCGCAAGGAAAGAAACCTACGAAGCACACCTTCACATTGTTCTCTGAAAATCTCAATGCAAAAACACTTCTTTAACGAACCTGCTTAAGCCTTGATAATTTAAACCCTAAGCCCTAAACCCTAAACCTCACATGAGGCAGGCTCGCTCAGATGAAAAGGCCATTACACTTTAAAAAAAAACCTAAGCCGAAAAGACTCAAAAAAGCAGCGACCCCTTCATTGTCTTTCTCTGAGCGCCTGGAGCCAAGGATGCGCCTCACTCGGCCGGCTGGATGCGCGAACTTCGGGGGAGCCCGGAGGTCGCTTTTGCAGGTTTTTATGTATTGCAGGGGCCTAAACCCTAAACCCTAAACCCTAAACCCTAAATAATTGCCAATACCAGTTTGGGGGTTCCTTAGCATAATTATAGTATTCAAGGACCCCAAAACCCTATTCTAATTATTAAGGCCCCTACATTTTGTTATTTAGTGGGGGATGGTTGGGTGGCCATAGGTGTTTTTTTTGATCGGGTTGTTGGGTTTCGGGTTTTTGGTTTTGGGTTGTTCGGGTGGGGTTTAGAGTCTTGGTCTTGGGGCCTCGGGAGTACTTATCAACCTAACAGACCTGACCTCATGTTTTATTCAGATTTGTGAAAAGCATATCTGGGTGTGAACGAATCAGTAGTCGTGTCGCACGATTGTCACCCTTTGAAGCCGACCGTAGGAACCTTATGGACGATTCTGGTCCTGATATTTCCTAACTCTAACAACAGCTATGCTGTAGGGTCCGTGTTGTAAATTCGAAACTCTGGTTCATAACCAGGCCCTACAAATATACAGCTTCCAGTTATTAGGCCAAGGCCGTATAGTTTAAATCCCGAAGGATTCGCTCCCGGTACAAACAAGTAGCTTCTAGCAGATGAAGGTGGGGACTAGGGTTTCTGGCCAAGAGCTGGGAACGCGTTTCGGGTTTAGGGTTCAGGGTTTAGGGTTTGAATGGGGTGGCAACTCGAGTTTGCGATAGTTGATGTTGCAGGCAACTTGTAGGCAGGCGTTGCTGGGGCCCTTTGCTTGTGCAGACTGCTGGAAAGTGGGACCAAAGCCGGGGTGGTCAATCACTACGTAAAACACTGATGTGCTGTCTCATTTTAACCCTAAGCCCTACGCAAACGGTCTCTAAAATAAAGAATAAAAGTGTCGCGAAGCCTCTCAGCGCCCAATGCATTTAGGGCATAATAAAACAACTAGATTGGGACTATTACCGACCTTTGACTAGACCCTCCAACTACCCGTATCTACATGGGCAGCTCTCGAAATTAGGGTCCCGTTTTAGGTCTCCTGCATAGTACCTTAACCCTTATAAAAAGGACCTCAAGAAGGGACGCTCAAACCCTAAACCCTAAACATTCCAGACTCCTCTTCAGGCTGGCGGCAAAGGGGCGATCAACAAAAACAAACCCTAAACCCTTATAAAACGGACCTTAAAAAGGACCTTCATCCTAAACCCTAAACCCTAAACCCTCAACCCTTATAAAAAGGACCTTCAAAAGGGGACCTTCACTTAGAGAACGACCTATATGAACAGAGGGACTCAAGGGACGAGCTGGAGGTTTAGGGCGCTGGTACTGAACATGGAGGGCCAATCCTTCAGGCCGACATGAACTCTTAAAGGGTTCGGGTTTGGGGTTTGGAGTTTGGGGTTTAGGGTTTAGGGTTTGGGGTTTTGGGTTTAGGGTTTGGGGTATAGGGTTTAGGGTTTACGGCTTAGGGATTCATTGAATGAGGGCGTAGGGCCTCTACTTATCAGGGTCGTTTGGTCCCCAAGGATTCGGGTAGTTGGGTGGTCGTGGCAGGGTTCAGGGCTTACGGCTCAGCAATTCGACGTCTTCCCAAAACCCTAAAGCCTAAACATCTTCGGTTCTGGCAGGATAACTTTACAGCCGTGTGGGCCTCAGCGAGAGCAGCAGGCCAAACGGTGATGAGCATGGATGCAACATTATTAGTCCACAGTGGCTGATCCAGGTTCGCAGGGTTCGGGAATTGAAGCCCGGGAATTGAAACCCACCTGAAGCCCCTAGACCCTAGACCCTAAACCCTAAACCCTAAACCCTAAACCCTTGGGGCAGTCCTTTAAAGGAGGCCCCTCAGCCAGTTGAAGCCCCTAAACCCTAAACCCTAGTGTACCCTAGAATGGTGCACGGCCTGCTTGCGGTTTGCGGGGTTTGAGGGCTTTTCAGATTCTGGGGATTGAAAGGTTTCGGGCTCTTCGGTTTAATGAGTTAGGGTTTTAGGGTCTAGGCTTCAAGCCTGAATAGTGGCTGTAAGGTAATTAGAGATCATCTGCTGGGGAGTGTATGGTAACGCAGCTTTTGGTTTAGACCTTGGCTCCGCGATTGAGGTATCGCCCACGGCCTTGGAGCTCAAGTTTTGTTGTTTGCACGTTGTAGTGTTCAGGATGTAAGCGCATCCACCCTCCCGATACCCTTGGCCCGCATGCTGTGTTTGAAGCCCTAACCCTAAACCCTAAACCGTGCAGCTTATATAGATTTTGGGAACAGCCCTTATGCATCCAGAGGTTACTGGTCCCGAGAGCCCGGACATGTTCGTGGACGTTGTTACCTATGGATACGAGTATAATCCTGTGGTACGTGAGATCCGCAAGAACTGGGACCAAGCTCATCTCCATCTCTTGTGCATTCAGGTTTATCCATGCACCCACATGTGCCAGCTCCATACACTGGATTGAGCGGCTTGTAGCCGCATTTGCAGAGGCAGTGGGCACAGAAACCACTGTGACCACGGTCATCTAAGCCCGGGCAGTCGGTGGCGGTTTGTCACCACGGCAATGGTAGCCCGAGATAGGCGCCAACCCGTCCTTGCACCTTTCACTAACCAACAACCCCACTATCCGATCAGAAACCGATAATGCCCTGACCTCTTGCAACAGCTAATAACAGCAAGAAAGGCCCAAATCTCATCACAACAGACCAGTTTCGTTCCGCCTCCTCCTCCTCCGTCCACCCTAGAGGCATCATCCCTCAGACCTAAACCCTAAACCCTACGACACTTCAGACTTTTAGCGCCAGAACCCTGGGTCCCTTCCAGACTGTTCACTGAGTTTGGGGTTTAGTGTTTGGTCTTTGTGGTTTAGGGCTTAGGATCTTTGTGGCAATCTCGGAAGACATCTACTTGCTTGATGGAAGCAGCTGTTCATTAATGATTTAGGTAAGCCCTTTGAGCTTCACGTGCGACGAAGCCTGCCTTACAGACTGATGCGCTTCAAAAGCACATGATGCACCTTGCCAACCCTCAATTTGAAACACCTTTAAACAAACCCTAGGCCCTAAACCCTCTAAAGGAACCCCAAAACCGCCCTCTAAAAGAACCCCAAAACCGCCGACTGAAGGAACCCCAAAACCGCCGACTTAAACCCTCAACACTAAATCCTAAAACCCTAAACCAAAAAAAAACACAAAAAAAAAAACTAAACCCTAAACCCGCAACCCTAAACCCTAAACCCAAAACCGTAAACCGTAAACGCTAAACCCTAAACCCTAAACCCCAAACCCCAAACCCCAAACCCCAAGCCCTGAACTGTAAACCCTAAACCCCGAAACCCTAAAACCCTAAAACCCTAAACCCAAAACCCGAAACTCCAAATCCGAAACCCCCAACCCTAAACCCTAAGCCCCCAACCCTAAACCCTGAACCCCAAACCCGAAACCCCGAAGCCCTAAAGCCTAAGCCCCCTAAACCCTAAACCCCCAAAACCGCCAAAACGCCGTAAGGACGACCCTTTGGTCTTTGCAAAGCCAAAGGCCGAGGCCAAAGCCAAGCGAAGGTTCGATGCTCGGAGGGTTTCGGGTTTAGGGTTTAGGGTTCCTTTGAGGGTTCCGTTGGGGGTTCCTTGATTCAAGAGTTTCACTATGCATGCTTGCTAACCCTGGGTGGGTTCTTCCAAGCTGTCATCCTGCTCGCTGAACTGTTTTTCTCGGCGTCTGGTTCCCCGCTGCCGTGCCGTGCTGTCACAGCTAAATCATGATGCCAGCGTCTCGAGCATGTGCTTATGTCTGTCCTGTTTGAGTACTCAGACTTCGGCATCAATCCCCAAACCCTCTACTCTCGCCTTTGGCGCTTCGAAGCTCGCGGAGCAGATCCGGTTGCTTTGCACAACCATGTCCAGACTATAAAATAAGCCTGGGCCTTCGATCTCTTCATGGCCGTCACACGTTTAAGAGTGCTTCGCCTCTTGTCCATCTCCGCTTCTGGAACTGTCGGGTTGTAGCTGGCTTTAGGGGTATGGGCCGTACAATGGGATCAAGGATTTGAGAACTGATGGCTCAGGGATGTTTATAAGACCGGCTCACAGTCTGAAATTCTGATTCATCTCGGTGACTTAGTAGCTGGGTAGGTAAGCTTAAATTTGGTGGTTTGTGTAATCCTATCATAGTTGGAAAAGTCAACCTTTTCTGGGCTAGGGTACTCAGCCCCTAAGGTGAAGGTACGTTTCCAACTCCTACGTCGGATAGGGGTATTTTGCTGTCATTTGACTGTTCTTAGTAGCTGGCTTCCCGAAGCGCAGCAAGCCAACACCGGAAGCGAATTCAGCTGTAGAGGTTCGTCTAGAAGAAAATGCCCTTGTATGGTCGCTATGTATGTCTAAATCTATCCCCAAAACACGATTCTCCTTAGTAAGGACCCTTGTACAACACCCTTACAGAACACTTTTGACCACATCGGTATCCGATCTACTTAAACCCTAAACCCTATGCCCTACGTAAGCCTAATCAACCCTAGTTAATCTACTAATTATAGTAGCAGCCAGAAAACTGGAACATGATTATCCTCATGCCCGATAAGGGATTCTAGCACTAATCCATCTTCCTAAACCTATGTTCCAACTTCCTGGGGCTTGCTGCAATTAAACCCTAAACCCTAAACCCTAAACCCTAAACCCTAAACCCTAAACCCTAATCCTAACCAATCCTAACTCATCCACTAATTAAGACCTCTTGAGATAGCTTTTGGGGGCCTCGAGCGTCCGGCTCAAAAAGCCACGACCCACTCCCAAAGCTCTGCACCCCAAAGCCTCAAAACAAAGGGTTATAGGGTTTTGGGTTTTGGGTTTTAGGGTTTAGGGTTTTGTAGGTTTTTTAGGGTTTGTTCGCAAGTTCCCAAGGGTCTGGAGGATGGAAAGGTCAAGTAGGCGTAGAGTTAGCGGGGTTGAGGTTTCGTTAAAAAAGCTCAAGAAGTTCCGGGCTCCTCCTACGATGCTGAC